CCTGCGGTCCGGCCCGGGGGGCGGCGCCCACGCGGGACGCTTACGGGCGGCCCCCCCCAGGCACCGTCCCCCCTGCAGTGACGGGTCCCGACCAGAAGAGCGCAATATGCAGCTGTCTGAGAGGCACCTGGTGTTTTCCTAAGCGTGCCCCAGAGCGATGGGGCAGTAGACTTTACCTACGCGATGGTTCCCCACGCTGAGGGATTGAATGTGCGCTGGTCAGCCTGGTTTTATAGAAATCCTTGGCCTTTGCAATTGTTTTGGGCCGTGCAGCCACAGCTTTTAAGTGTTGTTTCCTTCGTGAGTTCTCAAGGGTACAGCCTGTTCAGGGAGCCACACAAAATGAGGGGGGGTGTGGGAAAACAGACCCCGCACTGAGATGCAACCTCTAAACGAGAGAAGACAGCGTGATATGGGATGCTAACCGTTATACCTGGTAACTGTCTTTTGGAAACGGTATCTTTAGTTGAGGTCCACAGGACCCCCTTTCGATGCAGACCGAAGCTGTGCACGAACGGGCCGGCCGCCCCTGCCGCACGCTGTGGAAGGGCAGAGGTGTAGTTCTTTTCCAAACGTATCCTGATACTCCAGCAGATAATTTTCACTTGCCTTCATAACCAGAATAACCAAATGCATACGTGCAAACTGCAAACAGGCACCTACTTTCTTCACATACACTCATCTGCTCTTAAATTCAGGAAGCCTTGTCCTCTCAAGCCAAAGCTGGGATTTGGCAAGCCCATCTTCTGCAGTCCCGCCATCGTGCACATCTTTACCACTACACCAGCCACTTAGTACGTCTGTCTGTGTGCCTGAGCTACAAACTGTTTGCAAACTGATTTGAGCTAAAAATAATCCAGTGCAACATCTGTTGGTTCAAACCTGTCCTCTTTATTGATGGCATTAGCGTGGGATTATTTCTGGCACACGAATTGCTTGCTTGACATAATGACCACCTCTTCTCTTTTCCGGAGCTGATGCATCATTGCTGGTGCCCGCACTGGTGGTTTATATTTAGTTATTTGAGAGACAGTGATAGCTAGAAATGTGCTCCAAGTGGCTTCGACCCCCAGTTCCTGGTCTGGGGTTGAGGTGGGGGTGAGACGTCCACTACGTTGTGCCACCGACAGCAGGGGAGCATTGCCAGCTCCGTTTCGAGCCAAGCCAGCCAGGTTTCATGTTTAACACGAGGACCTATTTCGGTAGTCCCACCGGTGATGCTGGGGATCCCCATTGGGTTTCGGAGCCTCCAGTAAAAGTCAGCACGGCACCTCGAGGAGGGGGAGCATCATCTGTGCTTGCTTAAATTGCAACCTAGAGTGCAAACTCCACGGGGCAGTGTGTCAAAATGGGGCAAGTCTGTTGCATCCTCCCGGGCTGGTGAGGTTAGATTGAAGATACAGAAGGTTTACAAGGAGATATTGGGGGCAAGCGATTTCAAACAGTTGGTTTTTATTTTAAGTTTACACACAAAGTAATGCGTGCCTGGTGACTGGTTGGTTGACTGATTTGGTGGATTTGATGTGTGGAAATGGTTTAAGGGCTAATCTCTGGCAACATATAATGTATCATGATACAGTTGTTTCCTTTCTATTGTTTATTGAAAGAAATACTGCCTTTTTAAAGCAAAGCAATTTTGAAATACAGATGCTTATAGCAGTCCAAGAAAAAAAATCTCCATTTATATTTTGTAAGAAAACTTCACTCGTCTGTGTGGTTTATTACTATTATTATTAGTGTTCACCCTGCCCCCGTAGTTGTTCTAATTTTTTTACAAGTAAACATTGTTTAAACAATTTATAATCTTATATTATTTCCTGGTGTCCTTATAATGCTTTAGAAAATCAGAGGGCAAATTAATCTCTGTAATGATTTTTTTCTAGAAGTTTAGTCTAAGGTGAAATGTAGTCCCAGAACTTCAATAAATCATGTCAGCAATATTAATTAGAATATGCACTTTATTAATTTCTTTGTTACGTGCAGCTACCTGAAGTCTTCTTGCATGTCAGCTACATCTGCAATTCTGGAAATAACAAACTATGTAATTTTTTATAAATCACTACTTAGAAGAAGGTGACTAGTAGGTTGCATGTGCTTTTAGTGCTGTTTTAGGGCCAAAGTCAACAGCTCCACTCATTAATGTTTAAGAACTTGCTTGCTCCCAGAACAAGAAGATGGCATTAATTCTCATTTCTGAGAAACCTTTGAAGTAATATTTGTTACCGGTAAAAGCAAGAAATGAGGATGTTCACCTCACCAGAGATGAACATTTAAGTTTACAGTATTCTTTTCATAGTATGACACTATTACACCACTAGTTGTTTAAAAGGACATTTCTAAATCAACTGGTATTTCTAAATTTAATTTAGTAAACATCGTAGATCATCGTGGCCCAAGAAGGTTCTGTTCCCCCACCCCAAGACCTCCTCGGAGGGCACATTCAGCGCTGAAGAGCCGTGATCCAGTGACCGTGACTCGTCTGACGGGGGTTTGTGTAAAGAGGGTTACACCACTGACAGATACGTCGGCACAACAAACAGAAGGGGCAGCAAGCAAACAGTCATTCTTAAAAACACACACATACGCCTCTGCCAGTAAGTGCCTTTTCAGTACAAAAATACTGTATGAAGGGATGTCCTGGAACACCATCAGGTCCATGTTGTATTATTACAGTTCCTAACAGCCGGTGTGTTGTGGTATCGCTCCCACGTTAAGTCCGGGAACAGCTTCGCATTAACTATATGAGTTGGAGGAGGGAATATGAGGGAAAAAAGATTACGTGTCCTGTTTTGAAGAGAAAGCCTCTTTGATATAATTTTTGGAAGAAATTTAAGCCATGGTTTTGGTTGTTCATAGGGCTTCATTCAATCCTTAGAAAGCGTCAGCCTAACTGTAATGGTTGCAAGCATGAGAGAAAAATCACATCTCATAACCGGCATGCTAACTAACGTAGATTAAGTTCTGCTGCCAGAATGTTTTTCTATATATGCATACGTCTGCCAGTACAGATTGCTCTGTATGCAGTTCCAGATTTGGACTGTTTTTTTTTCTGATAAAACTCTCCAGGCAAAACCTTTGCAGCGTAGACAAGGCCTCCACCTACCAGATGTGCGGTCACACAATCCCCATCCTGGGGCATCTGCTCATTTGACACAAAGCTGCAAACCCGCTGTGGTATGGCATGCACATGTTGTTCATGGTAAATCCCCAGGGAGACACAACCACTTGTGGAAGCCAGTGAAAAGTACTGGAGCTGGGAGGGTCAGAGGCTGAGTTTCAAAGGGGAAATCCCATCTGAAGGCAGATGAAGCCTGGGGGTTTCCCACGCTGGGACTCTGCAGCAGGCCTGGGGGCTCCTGTGCCAACCCCCATCTCATTCAGTCCCCAACACCCTCTGCACAGACACAGCCATGTTTCTTCATAGCGGGGGGAAGAGTACTTAATGCCTGAAGAAGGACACCATAAGTCACTGCAGAACATGATGATGGTTTCAGAATGGATTTAGGGCAAATATTGTACATCTAGTTAAGATTTGTTGGGACTGAGCCAGGATAAGTTAAAAGTAAGTTTCTAGGTCAGGACTAGTGAGACCTTGTTTTATTTCCACTGTACCATGAGCTACCCGTAAGCCCTGGGCAAGGGTTCAGCATCACTATGTCTCTTCCTTATATGTAAGACGAGGGTGACTGAACTTCCCTCAGAGGTACATGGGGGTAAAACTGCATTTAAGGTTAGGAGATGCCCAGAATCAGTAATAATATCTTGGCTAACGTCTTTAAGTGGAAATAACATGTTAACAATGTCAATTTTCAAATTCAGTGGACTAAGAGCTCCTTGAGCAATGGCTGATTTTGGTCCAAGCTGTTTAATAATTAAACCAGTCAGGTTAAACAGTTTTCATATTTCGAGAATCTCCATTTAGTTTACAAGAACTCTGATAACAGCACGAATACAGGAAAAAGGCCTAAAATAAGCAATTTTAGCTGTTCTTATCTCTGGTTATCACAAAATCTCCCACTCCATCAAGTTGGTCTTTGAAATGGAACCTCAGCCCATGGTTTGCATCTCTTCATGTCTTCAGCCATTGATATGAATGACTTCAGAAAAGTGTGCTGGCCCTCACTTGGCACATTTTATTCAATTCAGTATATTATGATAATTTATAATGCACAAGAAAATCACAGGATATGCAGCCACTGAGATGTTAAAACTCTGCTAATATGAGAGCAGTGATATGCCATATTCTTATAAAGCATCAGAAAGCATGTGTGAGTTTTCCACTATGATTACAAATAACTTCATGCTGTAGTCTTTTCAAAGATTATTAAAAATATTTAAATAATGTTTATGACATATACTTTTTGCGTTAAAAAAAGAAAACAGCAAATTAATACGTAAAATTTAATTACTTAAATTCATTTACAAGTCATATTTCTAAAGTAATGGAATAGCATTGTTTTATGCTTACAATATCATCCTGATCTCTAATTAGAACTAAACAATGTTTTCATGCAAAATTATTAATGTAATGAACATAATGTACTCATTTTTTATCTTGTACTTAAAGAGACGCAAGGCTTGCATACCTATCCAGGCACCATCAGAACTATTTAGAAGAATGTAACAATCTGTATGATGCGAGTTTAATTCAAATTTAATATAATACTTCTGAAACATTCACTTTTTCGGCAGGGAGAAAAAAAAAGGAGATGTCACAGACACTGACATCTGACCATATTCCTTTTCTCTGGATGTTCACCTTTTCAGCTGCTTTAAAAGGCTTGTGATTTTTGAGAAAATGGTAACCTTGTGTAATCTGAGCAGGAGGTACGTTTAAGGATTTAAACATTTATTTGATGCCAGCATCAACACAGGTCTCTGGGACACGTAGATAAGAGTTGTCCAGAGAAATTGCTCAACAACAAATGTATTCAGGCATGCAGTGAAGCGAAAGGTTGAATATTAACAGAGATACAGGGATTGCTCAGAAGGGTTGGACCTATCACTGTCAAGCTGGGAAATGAGGGTTGCTGCCTGTATATATAGGAACAGAGAGGACCTCTCCCTGTCAGAGCTGCTGGTGGGAGAAGGTCACTGAGCTGCTCAAGCAAGTCAGCACCATGAAACTGCTCCTGCTCTTCCTGCTCTGTGTTTGCTCCGTTAAATCCCAGGACTTTTCTGACTATGATGATGAGGTTGTAATACTGATCATAATTAATAATAATAGTAAAAATGATGGATTTTATTTAATTGCATGCATGACTTACTCAGCTTATGTGAGTTAGCTAAGGCAGAAGCTGTGGGGAAAAATGATCCAGTGCATGTTCTTTTTCCGCTTGAAGTGTTCAGAGAAATAACCTTTGTATTATTTCTTTGTGTGTATGTAACTGCACAATAGTTATTTTCTAGTTTTGGATATATTTTCTTCCTATTTCATTTCTTTCTCTGTAGGGAATGAAGAATGTATGATGGTAAGATTAGTTATTTAGCTGAATTTATTTAAGGATATTAATTTAGCAATGTCAACATGATGTTGAAGAAAATTAATTTGTCAGGTGCAAAAAAGTAGAAATATGTAATTAATCATGTCCTGTCTCATAGACAGTAAATACTTTCTACGGATTCAGTAGACATTGAAAAAAAAACAACCTGCCAGATCATATAGCTTTACATTTGAAATGGAGAGGTAACAATTGTTAAACAAAAAGGCAAACAGTGAGGATCAATCGAAGATAACAATTTAACCTATATTTAGCTTTGT